GATCTAGTACTGAAGAAAGCTAGCTTGCTTTAGTTCTGAAGTAATGACCTCCAAGGGGATTTTCCAGCATCTAATAGTATATTGCTGTGTACTATGTTCTTTGTATAGGCAATCAGCTACCTCAGAGTATAAAAATTAATAATCCTTGTATTGTTTTCCTTCTACAGATTTCAGAACAGAAACAAAAAAAGAGACTACTTCATTTTACAGCAGCTGCATATCATCATCTCTCTGCAATTAAAATTCAAAGGGCATATAGGATTCATCTCACCTTAAGACTTGCACAAAACCAGATCTCATCTGTTCTTATAATACAGGTTAGTCTAAGGCCAAATGCTTTTCTGTAATGTAGTCTAATTTCTTTTCTGTGAGCTAAGCAGTAACACTAAGACACTGTAGTTCCTTTGCACGTGAACATAAAGCTAAGTTACGGAGTTACGAAATAATTATTATTAAATAATGATGCTTATACCGAGCTAACCATATTAGGATGGGTCTCAGCAAGTTCTGCAGCACTTTAAAGCTGAGGATGGATTGGAAAGTTTCTTTCCTTCAGACCTTCAAGCTTGCTAAAGGAATCTGAGTGCTGTCTTAGCCTATTTCTTTACATCCTACTGGAAGTAGGAAAGATCAGACACAACAGCCTGTAAGGTTTGGGAAATGTTGAGCATCTCTTTACATGAACAATCCCCTGGGATACAATGATTTATTTGGTTGGATGTTTCTCATCTTCTAGGGCTACCAAAGCCTGTTGCAGCATTTTAATATAACCATGTTTTACTTATCTAAAACGAGATCAAAAATCAGGTCTGTATTGTAGCACTACATAATTGTAAAAATTATCTTCATGTCTCCAAACTGACCATTAGCATAGTTCCACTACTGGAAGGTTAGCATTGGCTAAATGGAGAGGCTGAAATGGGAACCCTGAAATAGCTGTTCTCTAGTCTAGGATCTTATGGCAAACTTTGCCCCACTGCTCCTCCATATATACAAATCTGTTATCTCTCACCATAAGTTAGATTTTCCCTTTAGGGCTAGAGAAAATGGGTGGAAGAGGGTTTTTTTGCTCTGATTTGGCACAGGGTACCCTGTCTCTCTTCTTTATATAGGGAGGAAACAGAGCTGGGAAATTAGTAAAGTGGAGTGATGTTTTTAAAAGGTAGCCAAGAGAAAGCAAGCTTCTAGGTCATAGTAATGCTGGACACAACCATAAATTGGGAGGGGAGTGGCTGGAGAGCAGCTCTTCAGAGAGGGATCTGGGTGGCTGGTTGACAGTTGCTCAGTGTGGGTGTGCCCTGGCAACCCAGAGGACAAACCCCATCTCAGGGTGCATCAGGCACAGCATGACAGCCCTCAGAGGAGCTGATTGCCCTGCTGTGTGCAGTGATGGTGTGGCCTCACCTGGGGTACTATGTGCAGTTCTTCAGTAAAGAAGAATGTGAAGGTACTCAAATGCATCCAGAAGAGGGCAGTGAAGCTGGGGAAAGGGCTGAAAGACATGTCCTCTGAGGAGCAGCTCAGAACTTTGGGTTTATCTAGTCTGGAGAAAAGAAGGCTGACCTCATTGCTCTCTACAGCTTCCTGAGGAGGGGAAGTGGAAAGGTGAGATGCTGATCTCTCCTCCCTGTAATCCAGTGATAGGACACATGGAAATGGTTCAAAGCTTCACCAGAAGAGATTTAGATTGCACATTAGGAAGTATTTCTTTACTGAGAGGGTGATCAAACACCAGAACAGTCTTCCTAGAGAGGTGGCTGATGCCCCAAGCACGTCAGTGTTAAAGAGGCATTTGGACAATGCCCTTAATAACATACTTCATCTTTTGGTCAGCCCTGCGGTAGTCAGACAGTTGGACTAGATGATGATTGTAGGTCCCTTCTAACTGAAAACAATTCCAGCTATCCACATCTCTACCCTTCCTTCTCTACCTTTCTCTCCTCAGAATTCTTCCCTAAGAGCTCCTAATTAAGATTTCATTCTGAAGTCTTGCATTTCAGCTACCCCAAGGCCAATCAGAATTATAGAGGTTATATGTGTGTTAGGGACATTTGTAGTGCCTGCATCTGCCAAAGTTCATCTTAAAACACTTCCTCAGTTTTTATCAATGCTCATTTAGGATGGGAAAAGGGAATTTGGGGGAAAAGTAATAAATAAAAACAAAAAGTACTTTCATTTTAAACAGAGATGGTTCCGAGCAAAAATGCAACGGAAGAGATTTCTAAGAGATTATCAAAGAATCATTCTATTACAACGTGCCATTCGAGGCTGGCTAAATCACAGACATGATGCAGCAACCATAATCCAGCGAAATGTGCAAAGATTCCTTGCTTGCAGACGTAGGAGAAAATTTGCAGTTGGAATAATTAAATTTCAGGTAAATACCTCCTGTAAGAAAATGACACTTATGTAATTCTTATTTTTATTTTCTGATTTTTCTCTCGTGGGTTTTTGATGAGAGGAAAAATGTTTACTTTGGTTGATGAATTTATCAGTTAAATTGCAAGCCAAGTTAGCTTCTGTTTAGACATGAAAGCTAAAGGCAAACAGATTATTAAGTAATATTAAGCAGATACTGGTTGCAGTGCTTTTGCTGGGAATGTGTGTGGAGTGTATATAAACAGGAGTTTTTTTGCCTTTTGTCTTGAAAATCCAGTATTTGAACGATTAAACACTGAGTGGTAATTGCATAAATTTCAATACCCAAGATCATTGAAATACTTTGTCAGACTTGTGTAAAACTGATTTGAAGTGGTAATGGAAGTTCTCATGTATTGTCTCTTGTTCATTACTTTTTTCTTTTTTGGGAAATTCCTTTTCTGTAGGCATTGTGGAGAGGATATTCTTGGAGAAAGACTAATGACACAGCAAAAACTAAAGCTTTACGGCGCAGTTTAGAAAAGGCTAATGAAAAGAGCAGAGAAGAAAACAAACTGTGCAACAGAACTGCAACTGCAATTGAATGCCTTCTAAAATACAAACATCTCTCTTATATTCTTGCAGCATTAAAGCATCTTGGTCAGTATTTTGTCTTAATAACTGATAGATTTCCAGGATGATAGGCACCAGAGCTTTTCAGCTAAGAAGAGTTCATAATGATATTTAGGCTTTCTGCATGATTCTAAAATGTGAACATGTTTGAGACTGTAATGGGGGCTTTTTCCAGACTGAAATTAGATTATTAATTTCATAACAATATTTAAATGGCTATGTAGAAAAGGAAATCCTGTATGATTGCTCTAATTTCCTGTCAGTTCTAGTAATGCTATACCTTACATAAGTTTATTATTATGTTTGCAATCAGTGTATGTTTTCTGTGGATGATTTTGTCTGCATAGTTTTTAGTCTGGAATATCAAAACTATTGATTTAGAAATACTTGTTTAAATCAATAAGTGAAGTTTTTACTTCTTTGCACTTCTACTTAAAAATAGAGAAAATCTTGGTTTCCAATTAAATTGCTTGAACTTCAGAGTTTTCTTTACTTTTTTTTTTCCCTTTAATTGTCACAGAGGTGGCTACAAGGTTGTCCTCACTATGTTGTGAAAATATGGCCCAGAGCAGAGCAATCTTCAGTATTTTTGTTCTGATTCGAAGTTGCAACCGGAGTGTTCCATGCATGGATGTGATCAGATATTCAGTTCAGGTTCTACTTAATGTTTCAAAGGTAATTTAATATTTTCTTTTGCAGAGTTATAAGCAGTAGGCTTATTTATCGTAGTACTTGGGAAAGGTACCTTCTTATAACATGTTACAATTGTGTGACATACAGAAGTGATTTTTATTGCTCGGATGCCAGATTAACTACAAGTTTATTCTAGGGGAGAATATGGACTTTACTTTTTTCTTTAACCTCTAACTATTAACTTCTAAAAAGATGTTTTAGAGGTCTGTCTATATAAGTTCTCTTGTCTCTTTCTTATATAACAGTATGAAAGAACTACTCAAGCAGTTTATGATGCAGAAAATTCTATAGATACTTTACTAGACCTCCTGCAAATGTACAGAGGGAAAGCTGGTGACAAAGTTTCAGAGAAAGGAGGAAGCATTTTCACAAAGACCTGTTGTTTGTTGGCCATCCTTTCAAAGGACTCAAAAAGAGCTTTGGTAAGACTTAAATGCTTTGGGTTTAATGGTTTGATTTAACATACTTTTCCTACATATTTTTAGTGGTATTTGTAATTTTTTTCTTTCTCTCTCTGCCATACTTATTAGGGCTATTATAACTAAACTCTGGTTTAAAAAAAAAAAAAAAGCTTTTCCAAGGTGGTGAAAACACTCATATTTTCTTGATTTGTGAAGCTGCTTTTGAACTTGTGGTGGTAACTGTGTGCTGTTTTCACCTCTTCTCAGGAAATCCGAGGCATGCCAAGAACTGTTCCTTGCATTCAAAGCCTGTATAAACTTACAGCTCGGAAACACAGAATGGATGCAGAGAGAACACTCGTGAAGCAGAAAACAAACACGGTCTTAGGTGGAAGTTGTTATGTTCCAGTAACTCCTTTAAGAATAAAAACAGTTTCAAAGTAAGTGCTTAAAAAATTTAGTCTTCTGTTTCTGCTGTGGCAATGTAATATTTTATTGACAAACCACTAATGTTTTCACAGAATTAAACCGGATTGGGTCTTGAGGAAAGATAACATGCGAGAAATCGTGGATCCTCTGCAAGCAATTCTGATGGTGATGGACACACTTGGCATTGCCTGCTACTGAAATGTAAATTATGTATAGGAAAATGTATTTGTACAGTATGGATGTGTTAGTAGTTGGCTAAATGATTTTAAAAGAAAGCAAATAAGTGTCAAGCTGTCCTTGGAAATGTATTTTCAAATTGTGGTTAGTATTTTGGTAACTCTTTGTATTGTATACAGTTTTGAAACCCTGTTTTGTACTACCAAAAGCCATTTTACAATAAAATCATTTTACTGGATTTTACTGGAAGTTTCATTAACGCAGTAATACATTGTTACACAACTGTGGATATTACAAATAGCATGGGATTCTTCACTCTGAATAAGTATTGTAGAATTCTATTAAAAACAGATTTTTGTGTGGGACAGTAATGTCTTGTCTGATCTAGAGACATGGGTAAGAAGGGAGGCACAGGCACAGAATTTCAAAACTGGCTGTTTTGGGTGAGTTTGAGTCTATTTTTTAGTAAGGTCTTGAGGGATCATATATGACAGCAGGAAAAAAAATTATAATTCCTCTTTTTTTTAAACATTGCAAGATTGTGATGGAACAATAGGATGTTTTAAGGGTAAATTTAGAAATTCTGACCTGATATTTTAAGGGAGATGATTTGTGAGTTTGTTCTTCCTATCAAGTGCACAATACATACAGGCATGCATCTCATCTGGCTGAAGAGATGGTGTTCATCACAGCATCCTTTTTAATTCTGTTCACTTCTGCCTTGGAATTGTATTTTCTTAGAGAAAGGCTAAGAAAATGCAAACTGTAAAATTATACACTCTCACTCCCAAATTTAAGCATCTTATCTCCAATAATGCCATTAATCAGTCATGTGATAATGCGTTGTAAATGAGGTTATTTTTTTTTATTTTGTTTAAAAAAATTACTTGAAAAAGGCTAGCTGTGTACAACAAAACTCAACAGACAGATAATGATTGTGGCTATGTTCTTAATGTAAGAGACTCCAGAATTAATACTACCTATAGAATACAATTGTCTGGTTTATCAGGAGGGTAGGCTGGAGGATGGCGGAATTGTCTAGTTCCTCTTATTTCAGCCAAGGTAAATAATCTGATAACAGAATGCCCTTTAAACTTGGAACTCAGGAGTTTGTGAGGGGAACAGTGTTCAATAAGTTTAAATTGTTCCATAAGCTTGTTGCCTGATTTCACTGTAAAATGATAAATTCTGCTCTCTTTACTGATGGTAAACTATGTCAAATGGAAGTAAAATCCTGCAAGTCTAACGTTATTGTGTTTGGAGAACTAAAAGAAATGAAAATTGTTTTTTTCGACGAATTAACTTGTTGCAAAATACCATAGACACTAAGGTATTTGCTGAATACCTTTGAAAAGTCAGTTAATTATTTACAAAAGTAATACTTAGGGAGTTTTCACAGGTAGTAGAAACTGTTTATAGAGACAGTAAAGAAGATGAGATTTAAAAGCTGTTTTTTCATCCTAGTCACGATATGTTCAGGCAAACTCTTTGCAGAAGGTAAATACACTGAATTCTATTGTTATTAAAATACATTGAATCTAGAATATGCATTCTAGGTAACTTAAGTGCAGTATCCTTCATCTCTTTACTGAGTAAACACTGCTTTTTAAAGCAGTGTTGTGACATGGCTGATGATCGCAATTCAGCTGTTACTGATTCCTACCTAAGCTTCAAAGCTGTAATATTGAAAGGTTCAGACTTTAGTTCAGAAGAGGTTTCTTTTGAAATGTCTTTGAGCTGTTCTGAGGCACTTACACAAATTGAATTCTGTACTATTAAAACATTTTGTATATCAAAGTGTCTGGGTGATTGAAGTGTTCTCCCTTTGCCACAAAGCAAACGAGTGGAAGTTAAAGGGAACATGCAGAAGTTCATGTGGGGTGGTTCTACATTTCCTATGCCTATTTTCAGCATTGATGAAGATTCCTGGGTTTATATAGTTTACGTGCCACTTGAACTGCAACATATTTGTTGCAATTACCTCTCTTCACCAGATTTTTGTGCTTATGCAAAGCAGTTGAAATTAAACTGATGCCCTTTAGAAAGTCAAAAGGTATGTAGGTAGCAACCATGTTTGTTTTAATTATGTGCAGATCTTAATTACCCTCAGGTTAGGTTTTTGTTTTGGTTTTTTTTTTATTTAGATGTGATACTGTGGCTGTGTGAGGAAAGTAACTATTAAAAAAAATTATCTGGGCACTTTCTATTTATTAAAACCACTAAATTTGCAGAAAATTCTAACAAATGTAATAAATTCTAGTGGCATTGAGTGAGGGAGCAATAGTTTTTTGTTTTTGGTTCTGTGTCAGGTGAATGTAGCAGTGGGAACTTGTGGGAAAATTCTGCTCAATTACGATGAGATTTGTAGGTGGCAAATCCGTTTTTAAAACTGAACTCTTTAGATTATATTGCCTTGGAGAGAATTTTTGAGACCCAGAGGATAAAATTTTGAGAAATCCGTAAGTTTAGCTTTTTTCTTTTTTGTTTGTTAGTTTGTTTTCTGGTTGGTGGGAGGTTTTATTTGTTTGGTTTAGTTTTTGTTGTTGTTTGGTTGCTTTGGTTTCATAATTTTGGTTTTCTTAAGTATCTTAATGTCATATTCAGCACTATTCTTTTTAAAGGTTTTCTTCTGTTACTGGTTTGGCTTTTTTTTTATTGCCATTCTGCTTGTTCTTTGCTTACTCTCCACTTCTTTCTTTTCTCTTGACTGTTCTTAAATTCCCTTTCTTAAGCATGTTTAACTCCTGTATTGTCTCCTGGCACTTTGTCCTACTTTTCTGATAATGTTTGCAGAATTGAGGAGCCAGGGCACAGCTAATCTCGACACTGGTCTCACTGGATTTTACAGTAGGCATTGGTATGTTTGTGCAGCAAAGGATACTCATGCTTCTGGATGAAATAAAGAATAAAATAAATGTGTCCTGCATCAGTTTTGCCCAGTTCACATTAGGAAGTTTCAATCTACAGCTGATATTTCTGTGAACCTAAAGAACAAAAGCTGATAAAACTGTAATATATCTTAATTTCATCAAGTCTTAAAAGGCTCCTTATTCTTGTAAGTATTCAGAATTTCATTCTTGTTTGAAAGCCCGAATCAGTCAAACTGATATGAACATTTTTGCATTAACTTATTTAATATCTGGGCTGCAATATTTAGTGAGAAATATATTTATCATTTTGCAGGTAAACCTTGTGACTTGCCACACATAGAAAATGGGAAGATTGCCCAATACTATTACAGTTTCAAAAGTTATTATTTCCCTATGCATAAAGACAAAAAGCTTTCCTATTCCTGTATGGTGGGTTACACAACTGAAACCGGGACTCAAGATGGAAGAATAACCTGTACAGCAAAAGGATGGTCTCCAGTGCCACGATGCTACAGTGAGTTAGCTTTATTCACCTCCTCGTGCTTCTGGCAGGAAAATTTTCTTGCTGATTTTCCTGGAAAATACAGGAACAGAAGCCACATAGCAGAAGGGATAATTTGTAAAAGCTAGGACAAGGTGAAATCAAACCTTTATGTATACAAACTACATAAGTTTAGATATGGAATATTTTTACAATAATATATATTTTAAGGGCTTTTAACCATTTATGTTCTATAAGAACATCAAGAAAGATGCCCAGTTTCCTTAGTTTTGGAAAACTAATAAATAGTTTTCTCTTAGATGTATATCCTTTCGAGGCTTTCCTACCTCTAGATTCCTTGATTGTATTCCATGTCATTACCATTGGTTTGATGTATTGTTTGATGATTAAAGCAGAGTTTCTTCAATAGATCAGGAGAACAAGATCAGCTCAGTATAGCTGGAAAGCCCTCCTTTTCATTACCAGAGAAGAAAGATGTTCCATTCTTTCTTTCTAACCAAGCTGTTGTCTTTCATTCAGGAAAATGCAGCAAGCCTCTTTTGGAAAATGGCTTTTTTTATGGCACAGAAATGTACTTCAAAATCCATGAGAAATTGCAATACAAATGTAATCCAGGCTATCACACTCCAAGTGGTGGTACTGAAGATACAGTACAGTGTCAGCCAGAAGGATGGTCCTTCCAGCCAAGCTGTACTGAAAAATTGGGTAGGATTCTGCATTTTTTCTCCTATATAATCAGTTGTAGATGTATATAGTTCTGCTGTCCTTGCTGTAGCTGTAGGGTCAAAGTGCCTGTATCAGGTTGTCATTGGAGTACTAAAGCAAGTTCTCAGCTGTACCTCTTGGAAAGAAACTGTCAGATTTCACATGCTGCTAGTTTTGTGAATTTGTTTAGATACAATTATGTGTGGACGGAATCGGTATAGATGAAATCACATTGTTTCAAATAAATCCATTGCCCTACAAACTTTCTTTCCAAATGATGACTGGAAAACTCGTGTAAACAACTGCATTTGGAGTTATTGTTTGCCAAGATTTCACGTGGGATATGACCCCTTTTAAAGCGTATCTCAGAAAAATTTTAGATTAATTACTTGAAACGAAGAGAGCAAGTAATTTTATGCATATGCTTTATTTATTTAAGAGTCATGTCAAGTACCCAATTTACGTCACGGCCACTACTTCACAGCCCAGAAGGAGCTTCGAGTGAACGAAACGCTGCTGTACCGGTGCGACGAGGGATATCGTACGGCGGGAGGGAGCGCTACAGAGGCAGCAGTGTGTCTGACATATGGGTGGGCCCTTACTCCAAACTGCACCAGTAGGTCATGGCCTGCAAAATAATTTGGTTTGAAATGTGATTTATTCTACAAGTTAACAAAAGCCTGCAAAGAGACTTGTTTTATCAGCTGTTGGACATGGAAAGCCTTCCTCAGCTGGTCTTCACTGCTGTGTTTTCCTCCTAGGAATAACTTGCTCCTCTTTGAATGCAGTAGCTCATGGAGGTTTCTATCCTGTGAAGAAAATCTATGAAGAGGGAGATGTAGTTCACTTCTTCTGTGACAAACATTATTCTGTCACTGAATTTGACTTAATTCAATGTTATTATTTCGGGTGGCATCCAGACCCTCCTGTGTGTGAAGGTACCTTATTTTTATAGTTTTACTATGAAAAACTAACACCTTCTTACATGAGATGCTTTATGAATCCAAAATAAAAATACGGGTTTTGTACCAGTTCCCAGCCTAAATATAAACCAAGTTTTGGCCAAAGGGCAGGGAGCCAGGGTAGTAGGAAGGGAAGCAATGATAACTGGAATTACTTTTCAGTGGGCTCTAGCAACCCAGTAGATACTGCCTCTCACTGTTGTTTCTCTATGTTATATCCTGGAGAAGCAGGAATCAACAATTACAGGGAATTTATTAGCCCTGAAGCTCACTTAACTGTGTTCAAATTACATGAAGGTTTAACCAAGCGTGCTTAATCCTGCCCTGTGGGATGGGAACATGCCTCTAAAGAGGAATTAAAAATAAAATTTATAATGAGTTCCTCCTTAGCTTGTGGTACTTTTCAGACTTGTACAGCCTCACCAAACTTTACATGTTTTCAACAGAATTGACTAAAAGGTCATTTGTTCTGAAGACAGAAACACACCTTTAGCAATTGCTATCAGTTCTCCAGTCATTGGGGGATAATGGAGTCTCAGAAAAGAAACTTTCAAAAGAATGAAAGATCTAGTGAACCAGATGAGATATAGAGCAGAAAGCAGTAGAAATCAACATTTAGAGTAGCTTAGACCCCAGCCCTGTATTTATTCTGATGACACAGCAGGAACTTTTCCTGAGCGAGTGCAGAGAAGGTGGGGATGCTCAGGAGGAAGAAAACAAGGCCTAAATCTAGTTGTGAGGATACAGTAATTGCAAACTTAATTTGGGGATAGGAAATGGACTATGATTATTGCTGCTTCTGTAGCATTAGAATTAATACATAACCTGCTTTAAATATTATATGAATGGAGAGTAAAGGAAATCTCTATTTCCTGAAGTCCTTTAAAGAACGTTTTTATTAAGTCTATGCAGAGAAATTACAAATTTCTTTATAGCAGTACAATAGCATAGTACCTCTATTTTATATTTGTTGAGCATAAAATTACTTTTTTGGTCTGGTCTCCCATTTTATTAAGAAAATGGGAGTAAGAAGTTACTCTGGATCGGCCAAAAATGCTATTTGAGTGATCAGCTTGCATGGTGTGTAGTAAACTTGATTGTGTACGTGGTTTTGGTGAGAAAAGAATATGCATTTTTTATTTTTAGATGTAAAAAATAAATGTCCTCCACCCCCACTTCCTCCTCATGGCCATATCACCACAGTTAGAAGAACATATCATAATGGAGACAAAGTTCGTATACAGTGCCAAAGGACCTTTGAAATAAGAGGATCTGAGGAAATCCGGTGTGAAGAAGGAAAATGGACACCACCCCCTATTTGTATTGGTTAGTACTTTTGTGAAAGAATGACAACTGAATAGAAATGATTCTTCAAACAGTGCTTTAATTTTCTGGAGAGCCCCAGTTTCCATATCTGCAAAACTGTTTGTTTTCCTCTGTTAAAAGGCTTGAGAGGTAAAGTGCTGCATATTTTGCAGTCAGTCTGTGGTTCCCAGGTTACAGAGAAAGGATGAGCTAGGTGAATTCATCTGACATCTGTGACAACTTCCCTGGAAGATTTTGATGATTACATTTTACAAGGCATCAGTGTCTCTCTGTTTTTGTACTTGAAAATGAGTTGTTTCTGAGAAAACTGGTTCTGTGCTTCTGCTCTGGTTACAGGAGCTATGGATAAACAGGAGTCTGAGGCCCCGCCGTCACTGAAGTCAGATGCAGCAATAAGGACAAACAAAACATATGGAAATGAAGAAATGAGTAGGTGAACATTGTTTTTCTATTCAAAAAGGACTCTCCAATGCTATTATAGGCATTTTATGACTACTGTCACTACTCTTTTGCTATAAGACAATTCTTTGGTCTTGAAAATGCTTGCATGTGCTACAGCTGTCAGTGTAGCAGTCTCAACTAATTAAATTGTTGCTTATTTGTAATGATTATAAACTACAATAAGCCTGTTCTGTATTTGTAATTTTATTTCATACATTAGCATTTGCTTTCAATAATTTTTTTACCCATTAATATTATTTGAACATGCAAATTTGGTGTTCCTTTGATTAACAGTTCCGGTGGGGTTTCTTTTATTCATTTTGAACCACACATGGGTGAAACATTTCAAGTTACAAATAGATGGTCTCATCATAGAAAAAGAACTAATCCGTATTGAATGTAAATCAGAAAGAGTCAAAAGCAGACATAAGTGAAGCGTGCAGAGGGAAATAAAATGCATGTCTGTAATTCAGTAACGCAAGTTTAGACTTTCTGAAAATGAAATTTGGAAAAGAAATTTTATTGCTTTACATTTTACTTGTATGCAGTTTTTTGGCTCACTCTAGTATTAGTCTAATATTTCGACCAGTGTTAACACTGTTCTAATCTAACCAAGATCTAATCGCTTATCTCCCTGCCTCATCTCAGAAATGCAGCAAGACTGTACCTCTCCACCTGTGATTAAAAATGGTGCTGTTCTTGGTCCATTATTGGCAAGTTACAAAAATGGTTCCTCAGTAGAATATGGTTGTCAGCATTACCACTTTTTGGATGGACCTAGAACTGTTTACTGCGATCAAGGAAACTGGACAGAACAACCAAATTGCTTAAGTAAGTCTTGTAAGAAAAAGCAAATTTTGTCACATGTAATGTAGAAATGGAAAACTGGAAAGAACCTCTAAATAATCTTTTCATTACCGCCTTTTTTCTTTTATTTGGGTTAATAAAGATTCCAGAAATAGAGGGATGAACCAAACCAAATATACCAAGGCATCCTCTGGCCTGTTCTTAAAACCCCCCACTAAAATAGATTCCCCTGTTTTCCTGAGTGAGCTTTTCTAGAACACAACTATCCCTGTTACCTAGGAGGATTTTCCAGTTTCTTTCTTCCATATTCTTCATTCAGTTAATTTCTTTCTGTCTTTCAGTGCTGTTGAAAACAATGTCTAGAACTCCCACTAGAAATCTACCAATGCTAGCAGGAATACTGCTTCTGGTGATATACTAGAGCTGTTTGTTTATCTTTCCTTCCCTCCTGTAATGAAATAATTCTATTTTACTAACATGCTTTGTTAAATTGGCTCCCTTTTAAATTTGCAATCTACTGTGAAAATGAAAATAAATGACCAGTTCAGTTTTAATTACTTATTTCTAAATGAATAAAATTTACCTTGTCTTGATTGAAAGGTCCAGGTCAGCATTTTTAATCTGAAGACTCAAATTTAACAAATCCTGTGAAATAATGAAATCCTGTGAGTCTTACTTTTCACCTAAGCATCCAAATAACCACATCATCCTTTCCATGTTTTCTGAGGCTTCTTTTCAGCCCTCACCTAATCAGACCAGAAAGAGCACATGCTGTAGTTAGGTTCAGGAAAATATCCATTCCAGTTTATTTTTACGCTGCACTCACCAGACCGCCTAATACCTGAGTTCTCCTTGCCTTTTCCTCAGCAAAGCATTAGTAAGGGCCTCTATCAGCCAGTGATTTTCATGGAACTTGTAGAAATTTATAAGTGACCCTCTGTCAGGCTTTATTGAAGTGGTTTCAGAAGTGAACGAGGTTAACCATCTAATGGGAAGCTGATGTCATCCTGATGTGATCCTGGCACTAAGTTTTAAGAAACCTGTCAGAAAATATCCAAAGCAATATTGACCTTGAATAACCTGAAAAAGCCCAAAGAAGAACACAAAATTTTCAAAATATTTTTTGAAGATCTCTAAATTCTTTTCATGGAGACAAAACAAATTAAAAAGCAAAGAAAAGGGAATTGTCAAATCACTTCTTTAGGGTAGCAGTGTAAACTTACTGTGTATCAGGTACTACTATCCTGAAAGGGCTTACAAAACCTGTCAGCCAAATCTGACAGGTTAATTTTGATGGATGGCTATTTTCATATAAAAAGTCCTTTCCAGTTACAGTAAAGATCTTTTCTTTTTCAATGGTAAACCTATGCTGCCATATCTTTACAACTGCATGTAAAATCCAAATTTTGTCATAAGCATGTGTTTTCTGTGATTTACTGTTCCCAGTTTAGACTTTCTTTTGCATGTTTTTTTTTTTGCTACATCAGCCCATTTCTTTAGATTTGTATTTTTTATGCATCAATAGTTCTTTTCTTTTTCTTGCAAGATTCAGAAACATTTTAGAACTATTGATTTGGATTTCTTTCTTTGCCCCTCCAAAATGGAGCTAAGAAATCACTTAAGGTTGTTTTTTATTTCCTAGAACCATGCACTCTTAATGTAACTGATATGGACAGCAACAACATAGAGTTGAAATGGAGACAGGAAGAGTTAATTTTCCTACATGGAGATCTCATAGAGTTTGAATGTAAACAGGGATATAATTTTCTCCACACTACCATTCTGTCCCCTGGGAGGACACAGTGTGACCACGGCAGACTGAAATATCCAAAATGTGTTATGCAAGGTAAAACAATAATTTTTTATTGCCTTCCTTTTTAATGAATCAGTCTTAGCTCTGTTTAGAAACAATTTGCTTTGGCAGTGCAGGCCTACAGTCTGTTGTAAATAATACATGTTTAGGCTTCAACAACACAGATATGAACAGATATCTTGCACAAGACAACTCTGTTGTTTAATACATCCAAGCATGGGAAAATTATACACATTCCTGTGATGGGCAAGGCTGTGGAAAGGAGGGAGAACCTCTTGTTCAAGCCCAGAGGACTGAAAGCTCTGTAGAAAGACAACTATAAAAAGAAATCCTTTGTGTGCCCCCAATTTCTGGTAAAGCTGCTGCTTTGTTAGTTTCTTATGCTGAATGTTTCTCAATTGTTTTTCACGTTATTCCAGCTCCTACAGAAAAATGTGACTCTCCACCATCTATTGCAAATGGAGCTCTTACTCTCCCACCACTGACCCAGTATGACAGTGGTTCCTCAGTTCAGTATAGTTGCTCTGACTATCATTTTTTGGAAGGATCTGAGAGAATCTACTGTTCTAAAGGGCAGTGGACTTTGCCACCAGTCTGTATAGGTAGGTGTGATAAGATAAATCAGCTCCTATTTCTCTATATAATTCATAGAACATTTGGGAAGTGACCTGTAAAGGCCATCCCCTAAAGTCCATCCCCCCTGCAATAAGCAGGGATATCTTCAGCTGGATCAGGTTGCTCAGAGTCCTGTCCAGCCTGACAAGGAATGTTTCCACAGATGGGGAATTACCTCTCTGGGAAAGCTGACCCGGTATTTTACAACCTTCATTGTAAAAATGTCTTCCTTATGTCTAGGCTGAATTTAGTTTAAAACCATTACCTTCTGTCTTATTGCTGCAGCCCCTACCAAAAAGTCTGTCTTCATCTCTCTTCCTATAGAGCCATGTACTTTGTCAAAAAATGAAATGGAGAAAAATAATGTGCTGCTGCAAGGCTTCTATGCAAATCAGGTTTACTTTTACCATGGGGATTATGTTGGATTTTACTGTAAACAGAACCATTTTGGAGCAGAATCTGGTACAACTTTATTTCAAGTACAGTGTAAGAGAGGACAGCTGACTTATCCGAGGTGTGTTGAAAGAGGAAAATAAGTCTGGACTCCAGGAAAGCCTATAGGAAAGGTATGTACATGTTCTTTTTCTACTGTTACCAGCTGAATTACGATAGTCTATATTTTCAAGAACACTACAGTCAGCTTTGAGAAATGAGTGTTCAGTTGCATTGCTGGGTCTGAGCTGAAGGGGGAGGGAAGTGCAAGTGCTTTGTGGTGTGAGGATTAGCAGTGCAGCAGAAGGATGCAAGATTGGCATACACGTGGAAAATTTGGGATGAAGGAGTTTTACAAGACCTACGGTGCTCAACTTGGGGATGCATTACAATCTGCAGGACTTGAGCCATGACAAGAAGACACTGAGCAAAGTAGTGCCCTTTGTGAGGATACTGATAGCATGAGCGATTTTGTGACTACAGAGTATGCCTAAATGGACATTTAATTTCATGCCCTTCAAATGTATGTTTAGTTGTACTTTGACAGTGAGAAAGGAGAGGCTTGTTACTTTGTACATCTTAACAGCACCCCATGTCTCCTTTCACAGGTAAGGAGCCTCTAAAGGACAAGGCTTGAGGAACAAGATAAACCAGAAAGTATTGAAAAAAATTCTTTAAGGGATCTATAAAACCATTTAAAACATAATAATATGCAAATTTTACTGAGTTGTTAAAATATTAAGAATGATAATTAAGAATATTAAAATATCCAATCCAACTACTTTGTATCATTTCCTATGACACTTAAATATGGGTATCCTTAAGGCTCTGCCTGTGAACATGTGTGACTGAAGATATGAAGAAAATTCAGGAATGTGGACAATGTTTGCCTTACACCCATTTTAGTTGGTTTTAATAAAAAAGCCACTGTAAGGGTTTCTTCTGTATTTTATGTCTAAACTCCATCTGTCTGTGAAATCAGTGCATGCATGGTGTTCTGTATGGGTTTCCAAGGTTTTTGCAAGTGTTACATGAATAAATAAAACAAAAAAAGAAATTAAAGCATTTGAGAAATAGATAAATTCTGCTTATTTAATCAAAACCCTGTATAGATTGTAATTTCTGTTTTCCAGTTAAGTTCCATTTCTGTGGTACATAACTGAGGAATCTGACTTTGGTCTTGGTATAAATTCATAGATCAGGGCAATTCCTGTAACAGTTCAAGTTTTGAGTGTTGGATGTGCTGCTTCAGACTGGCCTGTTTTAACCAAGGTAAGCTTGTGTCCCAGGGAAGTTTCAACAACTTATATTGGCTTTAAAAGATTTCATGTAATGAAGTTGGTGGGCTTGATGCCCAGACTCCTTTCTTTTGAGAAGCTCTGGATGAAGCATAAGAATATTTGCTAAATGTAAAAATACCCTTCTCTTTAAAGAGCAAACTGGGGAAAAGAGAGAGAGAGAGGGATTAAAAGTCAGTTGCTGGAACGTCTTTTGGAAGCAGAATTCCTTTACCTCTGCCTGCCACTTGCTCTGAATAGGCTGAATGTGCATCAGTTAGCAGAGGGCAGGATGAGGCAGACTGCAGACATGAAGACAGCATCTTGTTACTGAAGTCTGAGAATGCTTCTAGTACTTGAGTTTCATGTGAGCCTAAATCACCCCTTTTAGTAACATACCACCTTTTTTGTATTTATTGTTTTAATGTTAGTGTAGCAGTAGAATATCTTCTTCTGACCCTTGATGTCCCTGCGAGTGTCACTAGGTCAGCTTCAGCTTTCCTAACGTTATCCATACATGCCAAGTCAATGCCATGGACAGCTCAGCTTACAGTCTGTTTTTGCTTCAAGCTCCTGTACATTGATTTCTTTTCTGCTTCAGAGATCTATGTCAAGTCCCGGATTCATCCAGCCAGTCCTGGTAGATGTGTTTTTCTTCCTGAAGACCAAACTGGAATATTCTTGTGCTTGTAAGATTCTGTCCTTCAAGACTGTAAGCTTTTCTGGATTTCTCTATGACTCCCAAGCAATCCCACCTACTAGTCTCCTAAAACAGTCAAAATCATGCTCTCCTAGGGGGCCTGATTTGTACTCTACTCGCTTTCCTCTCTCCCCTCTGAATCATGAACTCCATTAGTACACAGTTACCACAGCAAGGCTGCTGCTGCTTTCCACAAGCACTTTGTCCTTGTTTGTGAAGAGCAGATGGAGCTGTGGGCTCCACTTACTTGCTCCTCCTGATCAGGTACTCAGGACACTCAGCTATGACCCCAGAGTAGTTTCCAGGCAAGCACATGGAGAAGAAAGTAGGAATAGACAAGTGCTGAGAATCAAATTACTCACGAGCTTTAATTCTTGTCTCAGTATGCCACCAAAGCCAGCCTATTTCAGGACACAATGGTTAATAAAAATAACAGTGAGATCAGTATAGAATGGATAAAATGCAAGCACAGCCATTTGGATGTGGATAATATGCAAACACAATCATCCAATCATAAAAATAATATAACAAATTCCAAGGCAGAACATTGGCTAAGCTGCAAACAGAGCACAGCAAAATGGGAAACACCAGGAAAAACTGAGCTCAAATCACTGGGTTGGCTGAGGGCTCTCTTATTTCTGCAGCTGGCCTCCTTCATGCCATTTCCATTCATCCAAACCACGATTCTGTGTAAAGACAAAAAAGGGGGAAAGTCATGAATACCAATCCTCAGGCACCACAGAGGCTCCTCAGAGCAGTGGACAGGCAATTCCATCAAAACTGCCTCCTACAACTCCCACCCTGTGTCCTCAGCACTGTGCACTTACGTTGACAGGTAGGATATGTAATCACTCCATCCAGGCACTGTGCTCTAAATTTCTCAGCTCTTGAAACTGGTTTGTGCCACCATTTGCATTCAAAGAAAATAAAATCCCCAGAGGGATAGGTGGAAGTTCTTGATTGGCGTGACTGTAGTTGAATATTGTTGCTTTCCATATGGTCCGTACTCACTGTACAGCTCCCTGCAAAAAAGGACTTTCATTATTTGCCTGTAGATCTCACACTGGACAACTGATGCTGTGAAACCACTGTGCCCTTTCCCCAGCAGTCTTTCCAGCTCAGGAATGCTGCCCAATGGCTTCTTGCTGCCCCTCCCTGCCTGTAGCTTACAACAGGCTTCTGCACTCTGGCTCCTCCCCAGGCACTTCCCCCGCAAAGGGAAAGGCTTTTTGCTCCCCTTTCAGCACTAAAAATACAACACCACAGCAGCTAATCTGTGGCTGAAGAGGAGATGACTTACTGCCCGGCCTGCATCGTGGGTAATCCAACACTCCCTCCACACACTGGACTTTGAAGTGGGAAGGCTCTTGCTCTTTCACATATCCTGCTTTACAACGAAATTCAATATAGTCACCCGATGTGGAATACAGCTTGGTTTCTCTGGACCATTTCAGCTCAATATTGTTTCTGTCCATATCTTCTTCTGATGCTGTACAGGCCACTTGAAAAATTGAAGAGAAGAGTGTCAGCATTTCATACAGGCACACCACAGGTAACTGTTTTGCCCCTAGAGCCTACAGAAGTTGTTTGCATCAAAAAATCCTTCCAGCTATTTGCTCTCATCCTCTGTTACTTGCCACAGAAAAGACATTCACAGCCAGCCTAAAAGGGAAAAAAGACCATGGCTGAGATGCCACACAGAGCTGTGGAGAAGCCTTTTCAGTCTGACAGTCACACAGGACAAGAATGGTGCACAGGTGGGGAAGGCACCAGGCACCAATGAACTTGACCTCATGTTTTTTGAGATCCTTCCCTTCTGCTCTGTACTTCTCTAAATTTATTTTCTCATTACCATGTCACAGATGCAAGCCTGGATGTCCCCAGAACTGCCACACACTCAGATCACTCCTCCTTGTTCACAGCCTGCTGCCTGTAGCAGCATCCCCAGCTTGGGAGGCCTCAGGAGCTTTGCACAGAGGTGGAGATCCCCTCACAGAGGGGGGTTCAGCCAAAGTCCTCTCCTTGCAGACCTCCTGGCAGCAGAAAGGACTACACGAGCTAACTTTCAGAGAAACTCTTTGGGGATAAAAGAAGGACTCGCTGCTGTTCTGCCCTGCCAGCATCACAGCCCCAGCACAAACGCTGCTGCACAAGTTCTGCCCTTAGAGTCTGAGAAAAAGAAGAGAGGAGCAGTCACACAGCCTTTGGCCACCCAGCACATGCTTCCACGTACCTAGGCAAACAGGGGGGCTTGACCACTGCCCATCAGTACAAGTGATATACTGAGATCCTTTCAAGACATACAGGCTTGGGCATTTGTATTCCAGAGTTGTACCTTGTTGATATTCTCGCATGGGGAAGGAAAGAAGATCTCCATTTTCAATAGCTGGAGGTGGGCCACATTTCCCACCTTTTCCTGAAAGAAATTGCCCAATCAGAGACAAAAACCACAAGAGTTTAACTGCCATGGAGGTCTGGTCACAAATGTGACCAGCTACCCCACAGAATATTGGCACTACTCTAAGAGAACCAGAGGAAAGCAGAGAGAAAATCAAATACCTGGCAGGTGAAACAGAGCAAGAGTTTCTCATTTCTCCAGCCCTCGGGCTCACAACTGTCAGTTCACCCCATTTGACCACAGCTGAAGTGCTTGCAGCTGTCTGCAGGACTTCATCTTGTCCTGCAGAACAGTGTGGCATTTGGCCCTCTTGAGTGAAGCCACCTGGGTCACTCAGCTGGTAAACTCATCTGAACAGATTCCTGGGAAAATTACTTTTTCTTGAGTGTGCCATATACATTGCAATTGTGCATGATAAGGGTACTGAAATTTGGAAAAGTAAATCCCTCTGAGTCAGCCTCATTACAGAATCTCTGACAGGCGAGAGAGAGAGAGAGAGAGAGAGAGAGAGAAATTACCTTTGCACTTCGGCAGCTCTGTCCAGGTCCCATTCTGGCACACTACAGTGGAAGTCCCAGTCATCTTAAAACCTTGCCAGCAGTCATAGTTAGCAGTCTCCCCAGGGAGATACTTTGTCTTTTTAATATTAATCCTACCACCAGCAATTTCTGGAGGAGGTTCACATGTCACATCTGAAAAGAGACACGACTACAGTCACCTTTGCAGTTGTTGAGATGTTCATCTAAACAACCAAAAGTTAAAGGAATCAATCTGGTTACAATTTCTGTACAGATTTTCTGTCTCAGGTGGGTCACACCATGGAGAAAGCAATGAGGTGTGACAGTGGCAGCAGAAAATGATCTGGGACTCTCAGGAGATGGGCAGGGTCAATAAGAGTTTCTAGAAAAAGCCAATGTTTCTGTAGCTACACTTAATGTCACAGAAGACAGTGCAGCCTTCCCGCATGCCCATGTCCCTCCCTAGGGAGCCCCGGCATTCCTGGAAACCACAGAGGTAACAGCCAAACTGACACTGTGCTGAAGTGCAGAGCTCTGGAGCACTGGCAGCGCTGGAGGAGCTTGTCAGCCTGTGCTGTTCAGGGATGGGGGAATGCAACCAGCTCCAAGGAGCTGTGTGAAAGCCAAGTAGCACTTGTTCACCCTGCAGCCACAGATTTTGGCAGGGCACAGGAGCACAGCTCATCGCCATTCCTTGTCACAGGAACAATCTTTCCAGTTCTATGGCCTTGGCAGACCTTACATAGTTTAGATCTGGGTCTCTGCTGGGATCTGCATTGGTCAGAGGGGAGCCCTGGAGTTTCTTCTCTCCCCTATTGCTGCTTCCATTCAGATACTTCCTGACAGCTTTGAACAGAAGACAGGAGCCCTTACATGTCTTTCCACTGAAGGTTGTTGAAATGGTGGACACTGGAGCAATACCAATAACATGCAGGAGAATGACAGTACAGCACATTTTTGGCCCTGCTGCTTGAAGATGTTTTTGCTGTTGATGGAAATATTCCCAGTATTTCTAGAAGCATCGAGCTAAATTAAAGTGCTGTGCAAGCAAGCAACAGAAACTACAAAGTTGAGGTACCCAAAGAAAACAAAAGTAGAAAAGGTGAAGTCTTCAGTGTGTTTAGGTAGAGAAACAGTCCCCTCTATGCTAACAGGCAAGGTGAA